GTTGAAACTTAACCTTGCCAGCCCTTTCAACCCTGTTTTATCCAGAAAAACTTGAATATTGCCTTTCATTTTATTCACAGTTAGTCTGTCTGAAAATAGAGCAGCAGATGTAATGGTTGCTGCAACTCATTCAGTATAAAAACTAATTTATAAGTGACCACTTCTGCTGGTGCATGCCATATGAATATGGGTTTCAGAATACTACAAAACCTCACCTCTTGTGTCACAGAAACAGCAGATCAATACCTTAAATTACTTCACTTCTTGAGTTGTGATGGTTTGTGGTATATGAAAAGGTATTCCTTTTATTTTTGAAAGGTGAATGTTTCTTGTTCACCAAAATTTTCAAATAACCTGTACACATACTTTATTGCAAATGTAGTATAAGAATGATGTAGGTCAATGGCTTTCTAATACAGCAACCTTACCCTTGAGCTAGTAACATTATCAAGTGTCATTAGCTTGAGGTGATGAAAACTATAAATGCTTGTTATGCAAGTAGTGGTACCTTTAGCTCCAATATCAAATCATTGTCATGAATAATACAAAGTGCAGCAGCAAGTTTGGAGGTTTGACAAAGGTTTCATAATTTTCTAGCCAGTATACTTTTCTCCTATGTTGGTATTGTGTTACTTACAGGTTTTGGAAGATTCTTACATGACAAAGCTTGCCGCCTGATCCTTTGAAGTGAATGAATGTTTTATGTTTACTCTGTGCACAGTTTTCTCTTCTTTTACAAGAGTTTTTACTTGATGCTGCAGAATGAAAAATGTCTTTCATTTACCTTTGTCGGCCAGTTTTTAAATACTAATGCAAATCACCATCCTAGCCACTAATTTAGACTTATGTCAGATGACACATTTTCCTTCATAGCTTTTTGATAATATCTGGTATAAACTACCAACCAAAAATATTTCCAATGGACTTGTTCTCATCAATGTATTTTCTGTCGTATCAAACTACCAGAACATAATACATACAGGTTATCATGGTGACTGAAAAATGTCACTCAAAAGTAAATTAAAATCCCCATTGGATTTATTTAATACAATCATTAAAACTATTCATTATTCTTCATAAAAAAGAAAAAAACTGCTGAATTCATCTTCACAAAACATGGTTGGCAAAAGTATCAGTTGTATAGCCATTACCATGTTAACAGGAATGATAAAAGTTATAAGCACCACAAAAGTACAAACTTGGAAACTTCATTTCAGGATAAAACCAAAGAAGTACCATGATTCCCCTCAATTAATTTAGTTGAGGATAATATGAATAAAAAAAAACACAGAATAATACATACCTGATTCAAAACTTCAGGAAAGATCTAGTCACAGCCTACTTATCAGGTGCCAATGATTTCTAAAAACATTTCCATCCATAAATGGACTAGGTTAAGCAGCACCAGCTATTACACAATGAATCCTGCCCTGGAAAGAAGTATACCTGAAAACACAAACTAAGGAATACCCTGTAATTAACACTAGTGTTTCTATTTCAAGTACTTCACAAACACTCAAGACTACAAGGTTCTTTTAAAAAAAAAAGATTTTAAATGTTCAGTTAGAAAAAAAGTTTTAAATATTTGCTCTGAGGCCTGCTTACTGTTCGTATGGAGGTAAAAATAATTTAGAGTTGCTTTTCTTGTCCTAAAATCCACAAACAGTCACATTATCTGAACAAAAATGTAACTTTTCTTTTTAAGAGTCCTGACACTCGTAGTAATAAAATTAAAAATGAAATATGTAGCATTCAAGGTGAAGTGGCTTAGTATGATAAAGCATATTCACTGGTTCATAACACACTGTCAATTTTCACTTCTTCAGACACATTTTGTCTTCATAGGATGATGCAATTTGGAAATTTCCACAATATAACTTTTATCACTGGTTATTAATAATTTCAATTCCTATAGACTGATTAGAATTTTAATGACATTTGCCACCTTAGTTGGTTTGTTTTGAATTTCATGCAAAGCTACAAGATGGCTATCTGAGCTAGCCATCCCTAATTTAGCAGTGAAAGACTAGAGGGAAGGCAGCTAGTCATCACCACCACCTCCAACTTTTAAGCTACTCTTTTACCAATGAATAGTAGGATTGACCATTACATTATAACAGCCCCACAGATGAAAGGGTGAGCACATTTGGTGGGATGGAGATTCAAAAACCTGTGACCATCAGATTGCAAGTAAAGTGCCCAACCCACCTGGCCATGCCAGGCCTCTGCCACCTTAATACTCACATCATTAAAACTTTCTTTTCAAAGTTTCTTGACTAAATTGACTAGCATTAAATACTCAAAATTGTACTTCAACAGTGTGAAACTGATAAAATTTTTAAAGAAATTTACAAAGAAAATTAACATATATTTATACTACAGAAAACTTGTTACCTTTGAAAACTGGTCATAAAAATAATTTATGAAAGGTACTCCACAATATATCTGTCATTTAATTTAAAGGAAAATGCAAAAAAATATATAGATTTTAACATTTAATACAAAATCAATAGTATATTTTAACTTGTTTTAACCTTCATTTGATGGGCACATGCATTGCCATGTAATTGTGAATTTTGTACCATGACAAATAAGTATTCTCCATCAAATTTCACAGTTTAAATAAGTAATGAAACATTAAAACATGTCTCTTTGTTTTTTGCTGTGTATCTACAAATAAACCAGGCACTAAGAGTTATTTAACTATAAAACATGGCAGTGAAAGAGAATTTCAGCTACACCTTTGACTTTTCAATTTAGTAAATATAAAATCAAATATTTGTTGAAAATCAGTTACTTCATAATGAGGCAAAAAATAGCCAACAGCAGCAGGGATCCAGTAGTATATGTTGGCTATTGCTTGTATTTGAAAATACATGTTTCATATGGGCTAATAGGTTTAATCCAACTCTAGAATAGAAGTTATTGTACGAATATAACAACTGAATGCATTGTTTATAAATAACAATCAATACAATATGCAGATAAGCATGCAATTTTATTAACATAGCTCTCATTCCAGTTATGAAGTCAGCCATAAACAAAAATTTAAATGGATGACACACAACATAATTGAACATTTGAATAGGTGTTTTATTAGAAACCTACTAAGTTTAATGTGAATTCCAATGCCATATGAAAAGAAAGTGACAGACTGTTAAACAGCAAATAATACCTTATCCAAGTCGTAAGACAACTGAAATTATAAATAGTTACATAATTTTAAAAAATTTAGATAGTTGATTTAAGTAAGAGCTTCAGATTATCCATATTATTCTGATGTAAAGATACTCACCTAATTTTGGAGGCACAAGTGGACAGAGATGAATTTCTTTATTCACAGAAATTGTTTGTGACCTTTTAGTTTGATTTCTCACTGATGTAGCAACTTCTGATGAATTATTTTCTATTTTCTTTGTTTCTACAGAAGTTGAATTTATTATAACACTACCATTACCAACTTTCATGCCCACTGTCCATTGGCTGCTATTGATTATTTGAGGAATTTTTCCTATGGGAAGTATTATGTTTCTAAAATCGTGCTTTTCATTTCCTGAAATTCCAAGAATTTTGTGCATGGATGTCCAACTGAACACAGGAACAACTTTTTTCTGAAGGTTTTCTTGATAAACAGAGAAATTTGTGATATATTGCATGAGAAAAAATACTGACACCACTCCCAAAAGGATTTTAAAGAAGTGAACTCGGCAAAACTGGATGGTAGTACTTTGTAAAATACAAGTCTTAGTACACATTGCTAACAGACAGAACACCACCACACCAATACGTGGATTTGAAATTCAGTTATGAAAGAAGAACTACGACTAAGACCATGTAGTGAAAAAATACGTTCACATTCTATTTATATATACATACATGTGCACACCGATGTGTATGGTACAACTCCAATGTCTCTTTTTTTAATACATCTGGCATTGTAACATAAAAAAAAAGATTGGTGGTCAATCTCTTCTAGAATACAAATTACTGTAGCTTCGCTTGTGATATACCAACACTGAAAAAAAAAAAACAAATTTACAACATTTATTTTTCCAAGAATAAAGGAAATTACATTATTAAAAGGTACTCATCAGTAATAATACTAACCATGTAATAGGATTAAGTAACAAGCTAAAACAGAGATTTTATTATTTCAAATAATATATACATTTAAAGCAATAATTCTTATACAATAAACACAACAAATCAAAATACGGATGAGCTGGAAAACAAAGTACTACTTTTAATTAAAGCAACTCTTCACTTACTTTAACTTACAGAAATGTTAAAAATACATAACATACAAGTCATGATATATTTTTTTTAAGTGCTTAATTTATAGCATACCTTATGAATATCACCAATTTACCTCTGATAATTGTGTTTCGATAAATTACCAAGCAAATATGTAATTTTGACACAAGAATCAAGGTCAACGTGCAGATTTTTTCTCAATATGCGAAGCTCTGGTAAAGTTATTCCAAAACCATTTTAATTCCAGATTAAAGTGAAACAGACGTAAAACGTATTTTCTGTGTTACTGTTTCACCTTTAGGTTTTGGTTGTACGGTGATACTTTTAATAACTAAATTGAAAAATTCTGGATGAAAATATCCTTATCTTTTTAGAGGTTATAGTGTCAGCACAGTAGTTTGAAACCTGTATCAAACATACAACATTTAACTCAAATTATCAAAGTTCTGTTCTACCTTATCAATATCAGATATAATCTTTAGAGTCTGTTTTTTTACAATGTTTAAATGCCTTATCCCATGCTATTCAACATTACTTGCTTACAACTACAAGCATATGAAACATGTATCCAGTTCAGAGATCACATGAATTCTGAAATGTTCAAGCTATAAGCATTCATAAAGTAATTATCCTATATTACTACCACTAAAATACCTATAAAGTATAATGGTAAATTCCTAATGTGTAAATTTTAAAATGTTTTCATATCTAAAAATACATGTTTGCAAAACAAGAAATAAAGACATTAAAATTCCATTCTTACACACAAAAATTAAAAACGAATTTTGCCGTTTCAATAATCAGAGTAATGAAAAACATTAATAATACAAAATATTCAGATTTAATCTTTTTTGATGAATAACTAATTATAATGTGTTTTGGAAAAATACAGAAAAATATCGATGGACGACAAATTATAACAAGTGTATCATTCGGGTTACGAAAACACTGTAAAAGTAAAACGCATCCCTATACATGCACGGATACTTAGGCCTATCCGTAACCGGTACTGTGCAGTAATTTGATACGTAATCAACGCATACGTGACAAGAACGGAAATGTACCTACTGTAATATTTAGAGTGTGTGTGTATGTTCTTGTTTTTTTTCACTTCTCATAGTCATACTAAAATATACGATCTAACAAAAATCCACTTCCTTTCAATTCATATCCAATAAATAATGCCGATGCGTGCCAACACATAAATATTTGCCGCTGCTGCCATGCACTAATGGATATACAGGTAACACGTGTAAAGCGTTTTCCTGTCAGACATTCCGAACATTTGACCTTAAATACAGAAAATATCTTCAGAGAAATCCTCGTTTTAATAAACGAATTTTTAGTAATCAACAGACTTGTAGGATAAAAAAAAAACACGATAAAAACATGTGATAAACTTCTTAACTTTTTCCGCTTTAAAAGTATATATGCGTATGTGGGTGTATGTACATATTGTTACGTATCTGCTTTTTTGTTAATGTCCCGTAAAAATTCTTTCCGAGGAACTTCAGAGATAAAAGTCCTTTCTTAATTAAAACTAGTTAATTCTTTCTCGTTACAAACTTTGTAATACACTTAATTTCCACTATCACTTTAAACTTAACTACTTTTATAAATATACGCTATAATTCACGGAGATTTGCACATTTTACTTACGGTGCCTACTGCTCGCTTGACTCGATTACCTCTATCTTCAGTCTCTCTATCTATCTGCAATTATATCTCCAATTTATTTGCCGGGCTTATATACTAAAAACGAGGGCGTGCACCACTTTTGGATTACCTCGCCAACCACATTTTATTCGAAAGTCACGTCTGAGAGACGATCTACTATGTCATATGGGCCATCCTATGGAGAAGACAACTTAGGAGACTTCCCTTTGTTCTTCCTGTGATTATACAACCACACCTTGTCTCCTGGTACAAAGATGACTTCAGTAGATCTCTTATCATAACATAGCTTCATCGAATCAGCAAACGTTTTCAAGTTTGAATGCACTTGATGGTGAATATCATCCATCCTTTCAGATAACATTTTCACGAACTCTGACACAATCTCTCTATCTATTTGCAATTATATTTCAGTTTTATTTGCCGGGCTTATATATTAAAAAAAGAGGGCGCCTAGAACAGACTAGAGTTGCCAGAAAAAAGTCAAGATCCTTCGAGAACATCATGACGTGTTACTAGTATCACATGACTTCCGCTGTTGTAACAATATATGTATATTTCTATAGCAACGTAATAATTGTAGAATGCGTTTTACTGTAAAAGGTGTTTAAAACCCCAAATGACGTACGCACGGTTGTTTGTTAGAAAACTGAAAATTTTCGAAATAACAGTGCACAAAACATAATATTACATAATCGCTGAAGTTAAAAAGTTCTACTTTAAAGTTATTCCAGTAAAAACTAATCGCATTGTTCAGTTACAGTTCTAAGTCAGAAGTCTCGCAATAAAACAAGTTTTAACACGGTAAAAGTCAGATGTAACTCAGTTCAACACATTTTAATATCTTTAAATTAACTAGGCGTTAGGAAACATAAAGCTATTTTCTGTGAAAACGATTCGGAAAATGTAACGATTTTTTTTCGACTCAAAATCTTACGTTTACGTTACAGTGATGATGTGACTATACTTTGGTGGCGCTTTGAAATAAAACAAGAACACCATTCATAAATAAGTTTCTTGTAAAAACTTCTATGGAAGAACTTTGGTACAATTTGCGGCATAACAATTACCGACACAAACAACATAATTCCTTTTCTTAATTTTATTTATAATGTATGTGTAGACAACTTTTACAGTAGGAACATACAATAATTATAATGTTTCGACCCGTAGCACAGAGTTATCATTAGGTACGTCACATTCAAAAGGCCCCTCGTTTTGCTGTTAATGTATTTTTTAATTATTTATTCAGTTCAGCAGGTTTCTCAATAAACACTAAACTAAACTTTAATTGCCCATTATTTTCGTGCACGACTTCAGAACTGAACACAATTATTGTGAAGCAAAATTATATAATTTATTTTCTTTACACATTATGGGAATTTAATATTTGACAATGTAATTCGTCATCTGAAATTTTAATTAAATAAGAAGATATGACATACTTAGTTTCAACCAACACCCACCCTAATCACACAAACTGAAAAAACAACTTCAAACATTGGTGAAAATATTCAACTTTGAATTGTTTTATGCCAATATTTCATTTAACTAATTCATTTGCACAGTATTACAAAAGCAGCGCTCGTACGTCATCTATAAATTTACATATCCAAGATATAATCATAGCTATGTGGGTTCTACAATTCATTATTTTAGTTAAATGATTAAAAAGCATACGCAAAATATTCCATATAATCAGTCAAGTATTCTTTGATATGGTTTACAAAACTGACTTTCTTCTTTTCGAAAATTTCAATACCTTGGGTAGCGCTTCAACTTCAAGTAAAAAATGTTAAGAACCAGAGAAACTTTGCAAATGCACAAGTTACATCCAAAACTGAATAGGGCGTAAAATAAACAATACAGTGAATGAATTTTGGAACAAAATATTAACACAAAGACTACGAAACTAGCTTCGATGTTTTCATTTGTCCTCTTCAATCAAATGTATGGTATATTCTACGTTAATTTAGCTTCACATATTCAAAGCGTAAGAACAAAAGACAACTTTGGCAAAGGAAGGAAATATAATTTGAAACAATCTCAGCGATAAGGATGCTAAGAACATTATTTTGCCTGTATGAAGTTTCGACTAAGCTGTCAGACTTTTAAAGTGAATAACTTTAATTGTAGTAACTAATACCGCTTGGACACATATGTCAAAATTCACTAGTTAGCTATTTCGTTAGGAATTATACCTAATAGCAGTTGTGGCATAGGATCCACAAGGTGCAAGAAGGTATTCTAAGAGTTTTTCTCTATTTGGTCATTGATATTGTATTAGAGTATAGCCCGTCAAAAATGGCGGGGCAAGTACTACCTCCCCCACCCCATAGTATACCCTAACCAATAATGTATTCGTGTGTATACGATGTTTGCGTTTGATGTGTGTGTATGTGTGTGTGTGTGGGCAAGTTACAGATGTTATAGTACACTCTGATATTTATAGCTGGTTTATACCCTCTTATAGGTTAATATAGGCCAGATGTTTTGGATTTTGGTGCTATAAGATTGTTTTTTACGTAAATGTTTACTGTAGAGCAGATGTTTGTGCTAACCATGATTGGGCTTTTTTTTATATAGTATTTTCTTTATGCTACAAATAGTTATAGCTGCTATCATTATAATTAGCAGCTAAACTGTTTTATGTTCATGTTTTTGATTGAATAAATTTTTGATTTTGTCCATAGCAATGAGTGGGATGAGAAAGATTGTTACTGTTACTGAAATTGAAGAGATTTGGGCAACAGCTTCTGCTAGTGGAAATGAATTAGAAGGTGCTGATGATCCTGACTATGAAGACACAGTTACCAGAGGTTGAAGAGGAGGTGAATACCTGGGACACACCTGACCCAGGTCCATCTACCAGCTATGCTATGCCGATTTCTGTATCTAAATGAAGTAAGATAAAGGAAGTCAAAAGTCAGAACTACCGAGATTTAGATTATGTTACAGATTTTAGTAGACAACAGAGTGTACAAGGATTCCAAAATGTAGATTCATGTCAACGTTTTGAGAAATTTTTTCCAGTTTCAATTTATGAGAATGTAGCTAAGGTGACGAACAGATATGCAAAACAAATGTTAGAAAAGTAGGGGAACTACTACCAAGATCTAGGTATAATAAGTGGATGGATGTTGAGGCCAAAGATATTCAGGCTTTAGTTGCTATAGAAATTGGTATGGGGTTGGTGCATAATACAACATTAGCTTCCTATTTTCAAGATGAATATTGGCTGACTAAAACTACTGGATATGGACATATATTTACAAAGGATCAGTACCAGCTAATAAAGTCCTTCTTACACTTTACTGATAATAAGGAAGGTAATGCACAGAGTGACAGACTTTACAAAATCAGAGCAGTATTGGATACATTAAAAGATATATATGTTTCTTCTTATAACAGCAAAAAAGAAATATGTATTGATGAGTTGATGCTGTAATTCAAGCAGTACCTCCCCAGCAAACCTAGTACAAAATGGGCCATTAAAGTCTGGTTGCTTTTGATTCTCTTATTGGATATCTGTCAAAATTTGAAGCATACACAGGCAAAGAAACCACAAACATCCAAAACCAAGGGTTAAATTACAAGGTTGTTTTATCATTACTAAATGGATTTGAGAATAAGGGACATACAGTATAACTGGACAATTTTTATTCAAACATACTACTTTTTGATAGTCTGAGGGTGAAGAAAATAGGTGCATGTGGCACAGTGTATTTTGTATTTTAATTATCATGATTTATAATAAATAAATATATAAGCTGTTTATTGACCATTTACAGGATGACAAATTCAACATATTTTTCTCAATTTTCTTTATATGATATAAATATCAGAAACTGTTGGACCAAATACAGAAAATATATATCCTTTGATACTGAAAAAGGCCTAGAAAGGATCAAATTCCTAATTTAATTTTTTGATGGATAATTGACACTTTGAGAACCACCCAGAAATTTAATTATGCACCAAAAGGGTTAAAAAGAAAGAAAAGTGGCAGGCACATATCATGAAGACCGAATACTGTTCTTAATTCTCTTTTTTTAAGGTCATGTGAATACAAAAAAAAACATCAAATAACATTTAATATTGTGAACTTACTCATTTTCAAATGAATCTGAGCCTTAACAGAAGCTTTGTGACATTTCATTGAATAAATCTTGGCATTTGCTGTTACAAATAACATTCATATTCTTGCAAGCTTGGCATTTTATTATTTGCTAGTGAAAATACCTGGCTTCACTCGGGTTATTAGGTTTATATATTCTATATCACTATGTCAGTGTGTGTATTCTGAATCTATTTTAGCACAGAACAGTCACAAATATTATAAACATTTTTATTTCACAGAAACATAAAAACACTTCTTTTCTATATGGTTTTTTGCTAGCTTGTCTCATTAAAAAGATGCACGCATGTGGATAAGTAATAATACCTTGGTGCACACCCTCAAGGTCCACTTAGTATTTTTTAACTATGACAGTCACATATTCTTTTCTATGTGGTTTTTCACTAGCTTCCCTCATAAAAAGATGTGCATGCACATATGCATGTGGATAAGTAATAATACTCAGGTGCACAACCTTAGGGTCCACTTATTATGTGTGCAAAATTTCAGATTTCTGGGTTATTTCCTCTTGAAGCTATGGCAGTCACACATACACATATACAAACCCACAGACATACCCTTTTATTATTATAGATTTATAATAAAATTTCCCTAATCATCCATTTAAGAATGAGCTTTCAGTTTATACATAATTCTATAAAGAATAGATACCTTCTGAACTAATTTAACAAAACTTGTAAGAATTTGCAAAGTTGCTATGCTTATTTACAATTTTTTACATCTACATAAGTCATTCATTCTTTATTTTTCATCTTAAGATGCAATTTCTGAAAGATAAGTTTATTGAAACTAAAAGGTATGGCTTGAATGATCTAAATAACAGATCTTGATAATGTTATAATCATCAGGAATTAATTGCTTTTCCATAAAATTTCTAACTATATCCTCCTTCTTAGTGCTTAGAACAAAGTCCTAGAAAACTTCTGAAGTATGCAAGGTGACATGCTAAAAACAACCCCTCATAACCAAAAAAGCATTACAGTTATGCATAAAGATTAGAGCTGGGTAATTAACTCAATTAATTACCTATAAGCATTGATTACATCAATTAGTATCACATAAAAATATCAAAATTATGATTAAATTGATCAATGGCAAAAAAAAAGATCAAATAATCAAATTATTGTTTCTAATCATTCCAACTACTAAAGTAATCAAGATATTGCCATTCTAATTTCTCCTTATTTTCAATTAATTCAAGGTTGTTCAGTTTAATCAATTAGCATCACAATTCATAAAAACAATCAATTAATTGAAATTAATGGTTACAATTACTCCAGCTATCCAGACTCGTATGAGAATAATCAATTAACTGAAAAATTAAATATTAACATTTTTCAGTGCCATGTATGAAGCTATAGAGCTACTGATGACATTAACAAGACTTAGAAAAACATAATTTATAAGCCTACTAAATGTAGGTTAGTATTTTGCAATATTTTTATTTGTTTCATAACTTTTATAAGTCAGATTACTGTAGTACATTGGTCAGCAACCTATGATCCACAGGTCACTTGGTGACCAATGGCAATGATTTGGCTGACCTGCTAAAAGTTAACTTCACTATTGCAACCTGTGAGGGTACAATTGTTGCTTAGTTCAAATTTCTCGGCTACATGAGAAGAACAAAGATATTAAAAGAGCGAGTCACGGCTACAGAGAATTTTATGATCAATTTTGGGGAAAAATAATCAAGCTGGTCAAACTATGTGATAAAACTTTTGACTAATGCTTCAGGTGTACTGTGCTGTCATTAGCCAAGAGATTCCTTGGTTGTTTAGCAGAAAGTGCTGTGTGAAATGTATTTTGATGTTTTTATAGGTTTTGAGGTAAGCATATGGCAAATTATATATATTTGCAGGTAAATATGAGTTTCAGGTTATATATAAGTGACAGTAGTGTTTTATTTGTGACAATAGAACAAACATGTAAGCTAGATACATTGCTTCATTTCTTTTTCCCTGCCATCATGGCTGCAAGGTGCCAGACTGAATGACATGTGCTTCGCTACTCGCATGGCTGAGGCTGAACAACGTGTAAAAATGTACCCAGGAAGTCATTAAATTATGTATTGCAAAATCAGTCAAGAACTGTTTATTTTTTGTTGATAAATGTATTTGGTGACTTATTTGTTGAATATTATTATTAATTATTTGGTGACTTGTTTTTGAGAATAATTAATTTTATTTGTTATATGTAAATAAACATACACATTTAAATCTATGTACCAGTATTAAGAATTATGACTCTCACTGACCAAACACAATGCAAAATTTTTCAAAAAAAATATAATTGATCCACAATCAAAAAAGGTTCCCAACAACTGCTGTAGTGTATAATGTATGTCATTTATATGCACATCATTACAATCCACTTAAACCTAATATGCTATTTTCAATTAACCCTGTTAAGTAAAATAAGGCAATTCTAAAATCAGTTTCAAGAAAAATTAAATTTAAACACCTTTAATTCTATCTTTGTCACAAACATTTCACACACCATAAATTGCTGTTTAGGGTTTTCAATGAGATAAATTCCACAACATAATCTTACTCTTAGTCTTTACCCCCAGTTTTAACTTTGTGTTAATGGCCAACAGATCAATCTTTGAACTTTGACAGAGTCTTCACTGATTTGTACTACTGCTAATGCTACTACTGAGTACTAGTACTCAGTTACACTAGTGCAGCTTATAAATATATTATTTATTTAAAATTAAAGTCTGCAAGTGAAATTTGTGAACATATTAACCACCATCATTACCGCACTATCAGACTAAACATAAATTATATTTTTAGTTCTTTAGTTTAATATAACGTTGAAACTATACAAAAAAAAAGTCACAAACCTGTTAAACGACTACTGTTCCTCTACAGCCTAACTAAGCCTAAGGCCTAGTCTGGTCTAGTAAGACTAAGAATATTACTACTAGTATTAATATTCACTGTACAATAAATATAAACTAAATTGTATCTGTGTGTTAACAGCCATAATATTTGATATAAATAAAAACAAATCATATGCAGAGTAAAAAGAGATTAAGTTTCACATGAACCACTTATATTTCTTTATGAATTATACTTAATTTTCATACCTCAATGTATAACCACAATTCATTAATTGGGCAGCAGCCATTTCACAACATACGATACCCTAATCCTAGTTACAACTTACATTAATCATCGTATAGAAAATATTGTATTTCTGCACGTAATACACCCCATAGGATTTCCAGTAAATGTTATTGCAAGTGCCATCTACAGGAAACAATTCAGAGGAAGATAAATTACTATTATATTTTTATTGACGTTTTTGTAGAAAGTTAAAGTTGTTTTAATATTGTGCCACTAATTTATTTATATTAGCATTTTTCAATTGACTTTTAAGTAATAAAAATAAAAGAATTGTCAATATACGTGTGTGTGTGTGTGTGTGCAAGATAGAGTTGCCTCAGTTGTAAATTTACAAATACATAAATTAGGCCTATAAGATAAAGTGATGTCCTGAGACAATGTTTCTTTAAAACTGATACTCTTCAAGTAACAATTGTGACCGCTCTAAAAATGGTTTGGCAGAATATGTATTTCCGAATTAAACTGTATGAAATGAAAGAGACTGGAAAACATATTTGGCAAACGACAAAATTAGTGTAGACAAAAAATTCAACCAGGAGACGTATTCACAATATGGAAGAAGGGTGCAATTCTCTATAAATTCTGAGAAATCTATGTCAGATGACTATCTGGATAAGAATGAAAGGATCTGTATCAGCCGTCCATAACTTAGCAGTAATAGACTACAAGAAAGGCAGCGAGTTAACACCACCCATCACCAACTCCTGGGTTACTGTTTTACTGACAATAGTGGAATTGATCATCACATTATAATGCCCCACGGTTGAAAGGGCGAGCATATGCAGTGACGAGGATTCGAACCCGAGAACGCACATTGCGAGTCAATGTAATTTTGGCGATGATGATGTATTCACCTATCTGATCTTAATAGAGAAGACGTCATATGCATATCATGTGTTTTCTATCTGCTTTGGCCCAGTATGGTCAGGTGGTTAGGGCACTCGACTTACTTCATTACCAAATCCAGTTCAAGAATTTAGCTGGGTAGTTCAACAGCATAACCCACTTGAGAAACCAGTGCTCACCTATTCGCCGTTAGGAGCATTATAATATGACAGCCAATCCACTATTCAATTAAAGTATCTCAATAGTTAGTGGTGAAAAGTGTTGATTAGCTGCCTTCCCTTTAGTCTATCACTTCTAAATTTGGAACAGCAAACACAGATAATATCAAATAGCTTAGTGCAAAATTCATCAAACAAAAGTGAAAATCAATCTATTCATCTTGCTGCCCATCTGTAGAGTCAGTTCTAATGATACTAAGTAGCCTTCCAGCTGAAAGCTGTAACAAATAACAAACATTGGTAGCTGCACACCAGAAGGAAGTATCCAGATCAAAGTTCCAGAATTGGGTACAGAGGAAAGAAGAAACCTTGGCCGAACTTATAAAATAGTTTTAAATGCTTGCCCAATTAGCTTACTCAGATGCTCCATGTCAAATGATGGATTTATTGGAACAAGATCAATTTTATGGCTATCATAACAGATGGAACTTGAGTCCATTAAAATTGCAGTTAAAGAACTAAAGGCACAATTTACAAGTTAAAGAATTATCAGATCAAAATAATATTGAAACATCAACTTCCACTAACAATAATCTAAAAGGACTTAACGAATTAGTTAGACAACTAGTCACGCAGAATGGACAAAATAAAACACAATACAATAGTTTTTAACTAATATATTGCCAGGAAATGTAGACAATGTAGACAAAAGCCGTTTACCATTATTTTTTGTTTTCTAACTGTTGTACACGATATTTTAGTATTTTATAATGACCTTTGATAATGTACATGATGGGCTAAGGAACTTTTGGATTGGTTCAGGAAAGATAATCTTAAGCTGAATCCCAAGAACTGTGAACTGTTCCATGAATACGTGCATTTCCTGGGATACACAGTCAGTAGAGAATGTCTACAGACCCATCTAAGATTTAATCTGTTCAGTATTGACTAACACCAAGGATCTTGTGTGAGAGTAAAAGAAAGGAGTCTTGGAAGATGTTCTTACTATCGTCGTTTTGTAAAATATTATTCTAACATAACTCATCCTCTTCTTATGTATTACAATTTACTCCGGACTAGGCTCCAATTTATTATCTAATATATTATAATTTCGAATAGCCTGAAACTGAGTTAAATGATAATT